GATTGCATATCAAACAGTGGCTTTGTCTGACCCAACTCCTACAGCCTGTCTGACTGTTAGAAAATTGCTGTCAAATGGAAAACATTGCCAAAAAACACTGGAGCTGAGATTACATTTCTCTCTCTCTTTTTACAGACACTGTAAATAATATTACAATATAAGGTACATACAGGAATATCACAGAAGTATTTCAGGACCCAAGACTATTAGCAGGAGCAAATGTGTTATCTAGGAAACTTTGGACAAATGCCAAGCTGGGTATTTCAATATGGTTGACTGCCTATCTGCACTTTAATTTAGTTGGAACTTTCCCTTTCATCTTCCTCATTATAAATAAGCCAGCCAATTCAGTTATAGGGCTGTTCTGTTCAAGTGGTCATTTGACACCCATGCCTTCATTGATGTCAAGACATTTCCAACTTATGGGGATCCTAGGGTGACTCTATCATGGGGATTTCCATGCAAGATTTATTTGGGGGGCGGGGGTGTCAATCATTGCATTCTTACTGAGGTCACAAGAGCTTGACTTCCCAAGGTCATCTTCTGGGTTTTTATACCTAAGTAGGGATTCAAAACTCCCTGTAGGGATACAGACAAATTGATGAAGAACACAAGTAAAGTGTTTCCCCTTGACATTAAGTCTAGTCGTGTTCGACTCTGGGGGTTGGTGCTCATCTCCTTTCTAAAGCCAAAGAGCCAGTGTTGTCCGTAGAACCTCCAAGGTCATGTGGCCAGCATGACTGCATGGAGTGCCATTACCTTCCCACCAGTGCGTACTATTGATCTACTCACATTTGCATGTTTCTGAACTGCTAGGTTGGCAGAAGCTGGAGCTAACAGTGGGAGCTCACCCCACTCCCTGGATTTGAATTGCTGACCTTTCAGTCAGCAAGTTCAGCAGCTCAGCAGTTTAATCTGCTGCACCACCAAGAAACTGAAGAAAATACCTTGGCTGTTTAAGCAAGTCTGCAATAGATCATTAAATGTAATTCACACAAATGCATATTTCTTCCTCTGTTCTTTCCCACCCTTTGCTTTGTGGTCTCTGCTGCTTGAATAATAAATTGAAAGCTTCTTTGGTCAGGCTCTCCCTTTTCAAGCACAGTAGAACACCATTATCCATGGATTCAATATACAGTTTCAACTAATATACATTCCCCAGAAGTGTTTGTGGACATCTTAATGCATCTACATTGTAGAATGAATGATGGTTGATACCACTTTTACTGTTATGGTTCAATACTGTCAAATAATGGGAGCCATAGTTTTTAAAGTTCTAGCCTTCTCTGCCAAAGTGGTCTAGTCCCTCACCAAACTACACATCCTATGATTTCATAGCATTGAGCTTTGACAAATAAAGTGGTGTCAGACTGAATTATTCCTACAACATAAAGCCAACCCACATATTCCATTGCAATTCTGGAGTGTGCTTCCAGCCCATGTATAGTCAAAATACAGGATTTTCTGTTATCTGCAGTTTTGGGTATATGCCTCAGATATGTCTTGAAACATATCATTTTCAATACAAGAGCTGTACTATTGCAAAAGTTTCTGATGGTGGGATGGCATTATTTATTGTAATCCTGGGGTTTATAGTTTTGTGGGAGCTTAACAATTTTCCTTCCAGATATTTCTTCTGCCTCACCAAACCAGGCACAGGCACATTCTAGGGCTCTTTAGTATCTAGACATTACAAATTCAGAATAGTTTCAAAGGTCTAAATTTCTATAGACAAAAATTCACAGAAAGAGGTATTTCTCAATTCAATGTATAGGTCAGCCAAGAAATACTTTAACACAATACAAGGTGACTGTCCTCAGTCTGAATGGCTATTAACCTTTAAAAGGCCATTAAATGCAATGATTATATACTACCTCCAATGCCAAAGGTAGCATAGCCTTAAGATCAATTTCTTGGAAACAATAAGAGAACAGGCCTTATTTCCATTTCTGAAATTCTCAGATGCATCTGGTTGGCTACTCTCAAAAAAGGACAGTATTGGACATTAGTCTGATCCAGAAACACCGGAAGGTCTTTGCTATGGTATGGAGAAAAAGAGAAATGTGTGGCAGAATTAGGCCTACAGATTGTGAAGATATAGCCATTTGGGACGTAATTAATTTCATTCTCAAAGGAAGCAATGAGTAATTTTGTCAACTTTTCATTTCAAGAAAGGTTTAGCAAAGTATTTGCATTTGGTGGCTTATTCTGTGCAAAATGTTCACTTTTTGCACAGAAAGTAACATTTTATGTGCAGGAAACAACATCACAGAAATCCTGAACCATGAAGATTCTTCTCATCACAGGATTCACCTGTCACCAAGAAATAGGCTGCTTCAAAATATTTTTGAATCCCTAAAGACATATGGCCTAATAAGCAATTTAAAAAAACCATGAATTTTGATAAAAGTTTAAAAAATACTATCAGAATCAACAAAGACCTAATAGGGAGTTCAGAGGAATGGCAGGAAGTTTGAATGTTTTGATCTGTGCTTTGGAAAGCAAAAGTAGAACAGATTTACTTGCTAGATTGCAATAGCTCCTCAAGTGATTACTGAATCATTATGGAGGAGATGAGTAGAGAGATAGAGTGGATCCTCCACATTCGAAAGTTTAGCTTTTGAAAATTTGATTATTTACAGATTTGATTAATATGGTATCTCTAGGAATATCTAGGTCCTCTGGTGAACATTGACCACAGGTCTTCTGGCATTGACTGTAGAGTTACATAGGAGGACCTAAAAATTCCTAGAGCAGTGTTTCTCTCAGGTAAAGGAAAGAAACGAGAAGGAAGAGAAATAAAGAAATCATTTTTTAAAACTTTCATAGCAGTACTCTGACCATAGCTTTAGTGAATGTGGAAGGCCCATTATATAGTCCATTGAGGGCTTTTTGTGTCTTCTCAGGCTTCATCAAATCATGGGGGGGGGGGGGTGTCGTGTCAGGAGCAAGTCACTTCTGTTGTGAGAGAATTGGCCGTCTACAAGGACGTTGCCCAGGGGACGCCCAGATGATTTGATGTTTTTATCATCCTTGTGGGAGACTTCTCTCATATCCCCACATGAGGAGCTGGCGTTGATAGAGGGAGCTCATCCGCCTCTCCCGGATTCGAACCTGCAACCTGTTGGTCTTCAGTCCTGTCGGCACAAGGGTTTAACCCACTGTGCCACCGGGGGCAAATCATGTGAACCAAAGTGAATCAACAAAATCACCTCAAAGGGTAATAATTTCCACAGCTGATTTCTTAAAAAATCCCTCCCTCCCTCCCTCTCTCCCTCCCTCTCTCTCTCTCTCTCTCCTTTCATCCACCCCATCCATCCATTCCTATTGGGGGTTGGTGTTATCCACAATGGAAGAAGAAAAGGAAAAAGAAGAAGAAGAAGAAGATTGTATTCATACTTATCCCTCTATCAAAACTATATACATTTTTCATTAAAATTGCACAAATAAACATTATTTCAAGGTCAATTAAACTATGTAATATGATGTTTGAAACATTAAAACGTATTAAAGGGCTACATAGGCACATAAAGCTGCATAGCACATCATTAAAAGTCAATTCAAATCAATTTCTAAAAGTGTGATAGTACAATAATGTTTTAACTTGAGGATGGACAAAAATCAGTGATGAATTCATTCTAGCCTCTCTAGAAATAGTATTCCAAAGTCTGGAGCAACCACTGAGGAGACCCCCTCCCTTGTTCCCACCAAATGAACTTGAGTAGGTGATGCTACAGAAGGGCCTCTCCAGAAGAACTTAGAACTCAATTGGTGTCAATAAAGAGAGTCCTTCAGATAGCATTGAACATGTCTATATGGCTTGAATCTTATAATGGAAAGCACATATGGGACCCAAACTCTTCCAGGTGGCCAACATCTTCCCTTTAGGTTGGATACTCTGGCTGAGCTCAGAGGCTTTGAGTGGGTAGGAGAAGACTGTCTCAAGAACTGGCTCCTAGAAGCCAACCATCACTGGTTTTGCAAATTGTTGCAGTTTTGCACATTGTTGCTTTTAGCTTTAGCTTTCATTGAACATTGAGCTTTAGCAATCCAAAGTAGGCAATAAATGAGAGGGGTAGTAAGTTGTAAGATTCCAGGCAACCCAAAGATTTTTTTTTTACTTTAAGAGCTCTTTGGCTGGTGAGACATATATTCTAGGTATTGGTTCACAGCAATAGTTCGAGTTGTACAGTGTACCCTACAGACACGACCCAACTTCACTGAAAAGACAACAGATAGGCTTACCTGCCTCAGCTCCTTGAGATCAATTTTGTTCCCCACCAACACCAACGGGATGTCATAGGTGCGTCGGACACGATAAATGAGCTCTTTGAATTCTGCCGCTTCTTGAAAGGAGTGACGATCTGTGATGGAATAGCAAATAACGAAGCCTTCTCCACCTCGCATATATTGGTCTCTCATGGCTGTGAATTCCGCCTGCAGAATAACATTGGGACGCTATATAATTTAGTAAGCAAAATAAATGGCCTATAAAGAGCAGGGCTGCTGAAAGAGTGTTTCAAAGATAATGTCTTTTTCTTCCCCTTTGTCCCCAAAAGCAAGCTTGTTTACAAGTTTAACTAGGAGCAGAACGTAGACGTTTCCCTTCCAATATTAACAAGGCATCTCCCAAATGATCCACCATCTCTCTTACTCTTGAATTGTTTCTGTTCCTTGTCCTCCTTACAGTAAATAATGCAGAATGCTAATAAAAAAGATATTAGAATTCTGACATCTCTCACTTATCTTCTGTTTCTTTCTTTTTCATTATGCTTGTCTCCAAAATAAATTCCAAGATGTAAGATTTGTAGAGTGCCACAAACACATGTGGAGGTCTTTGGAGAGCATATGAACCCTTAGAGCAGTATTTTTTTTTGAAACCAGAATGCTGAGCCATTGCTTTCTGTTATGACTTGATCCTGATAATGATAAAATTACTAATAATTCCCAGGACCGGATTTATCTGTAAATAAAAAATTGTTTGCATTATTATTATTTTTCTGAATGTTTGTGTACTTTTGAAACACAGAGCTCAATCTATCAGTCATGGAAGAGGACCAGAGATGGATATAAAGAATATTCACACATTTTCTTGTTTACAACAAGACTGATAGGGGAAAATAAGTGCTTAAACCCTGTATGGTTTTTCCTTCTTTTCCTTAATTTTTCTTTCTTTTTTTCATTTATGGACTTTTGTAAATATAATGTAGTTGCCCCTCTCCCCCATTTCCAGGTTTGACTTTTGCAGATTTGATTATCCACAAACAAATTTGCAATCTATTGTCGAAGGTTTTCATGGCTGAAATCACTCAGTTCTTGTGGGTTTTTTCAGGCTATATGACCATGTTCTAGAGGCAATTCTCCTGACGTTTCGCCTGCTTGCCATAGATGCAGGCGAAACATCAGGAGAAATGCCTCTAGAACATGGCCATATAGCCCGAAAAAACCCACAAGAACTGAGAAATCTGCAACCTCTAGGTCCTTTGGCTAATATGAACCATTGAGTTGAAATGGGGGACCTAATAGGCACTGGAATGGCATTCTTACATATTTAAAATGGTGTTATATTATTCCTGATATTTCCACTTTCATGGGGGTCCTGCACTAACTGCACCAGCTAATGTGCAGGGGTTAACATTGCAGAATCACACCAGAATCACATTGTATTTTTGTATCAGGTTCTGCATTAGTTACATTCTTCCTCCTACCCTCTTTCTGCAGGAAATCAGTATATATTTCAATATGCATTTTGGTGCATATTTTTCTTTGATGAGAGCCGTCATAAATCTAGGAGCTATATGGATTATTGGATGCAACATGCACTTTGTCCTATTGACTGTCTAATGGTTTGCATAATGGATACTTTCATAGGGAAATGTAAACCTGCTTGATTTGTTTTCCATCCTTTGACTCCTACAGTATTCTTTGCACTTTACGTCTCTTTTAAAGAAAGTGTCTTTGAACAAAAGTAAGCATGAATGTCAGAATCCTGTTAGGGCCTTACATCTTCATCAGCAGATTTGCCACTATTGGAATTAGAATTGCACTTTGCATAAGGTTTTCCTCCAGGAAAAATAACCCTGCTATTATGTTTGTATATATCAAAGTTGACAATGTGAAAAATTCACATTGGTGTTCAATGTACTTCAGTACCCCATGTGTGCCGGTACATAATGTGCATCAATGTATAATGCACACCAATGTTTCATACTGATGCACATTGATGTACATCAGTCCTTGTGTAGATTGGGTAGGGTACTCTTACTGGTATCCTATTATATGTCATTGTATTTCATAGAATTATAGAGCTGGAAGAGACCCCAGGGGAAATCCAGTCTAACATCAACCTGCAACCTGCAAATCCTTCTCAGAAGATGGCCATCCAGGCTCTGATTTAAAATCTCCAGAGGATGATACTCCACCATACTCTGAGATGGCAGCATGTTCGACTGTCTAATAATTCTAAATAAAAAAGAATTTTTGCTTTTTGTTAAGAATTTTTTTCAGAAAAACAAGGTATTTTCTGTGCAGAAAACATGTGCATTTTGATTTTTTTTTTTTGCTAAAGAGTCTTCTGAAATGTAGAACATGGTTGAAAACTGTGTGAAGTTCTATGCATTCTCATATCTGAAATTTTTGTTGTTCTTCTTGCATGGAAGAGTAAAATGAACAATGTCCATCACATCAAAGTCTTCTGAAATGAAAATGGGAATTTCTGTAAATCTCCATGTATTCTCTCAGAGAAAAGGAAAAACTGATGGGTTTTTTAAATGGAAGAAAGAAAACAATCTGAATTCTCCAAGGAGAAACTGGATCAATAGAATCATAGAATCAAAGAGTTGGAAGAGACCTCATGGGCCATCCAGTCCAACCCCCTGCCAAGAAGCAGGAATATTGCATTCAAATCACCCCTGACAGATGGCCATCCAGCCTCTGTTTAAGTTGTAAGTTCAAAACCAAAGTTTCCAAAAAGATTTCCAATAATACACACACACACACACCAAAATATGCATATTTTGATATATGCTCAACAAATCTCCACATTTTGTAATACAACTAAACATTCACTCTATTCCTCTGAGCAAGAAAAGATTGCATTTTATAAATATAAATGAAAACTAAGGTGAACATATAGTTAGGTTTCAAAAAGAATAATCTGCACTAAAAAGGGTTGAGATGATTTTTGGTATGGCCTTTTGGCAACCCGATCAGAAATGGACTTCCCAAAATATGGCAGAGGTTGATAGGAGTTGTAGTCCAATAATATCACTTATTGGCTATCCTTGGTGCAGCATCCCTAGCACAGCATTGCAGACAAATATAGACCTGGTTTACAGTTACTGTTCCCAGTAACTGGATTTTCCCCTTTTAACCAGAAACTAATGTAGCTTGGGAAGTTTGGAAGGCTAGGAGCAAGGTGCTAAGAGGAGAGTGATTTTGGGTGAAAAAGGATAAAACACTATCTTCTCAGCTGCTAAGTCTGTCTTGTACGTGCTTCTCATCCCCAGAATAAGTGCTAAATATCAAACATGCATTCACTTTACTGTCATGTACTTCTGTTTTAAAAGTGGAGAAAAAAGATGGGAATTGATTCTGCCTTAAGTGAGAGACAGCCCAAGAATGTGATTTAATGCAGAGGCAGGGAATTTGGGTACTTTTCGACATTTCAGTTCTTGTATTCTGAGATCTCTCCTCTTTAAGAGCTGCATTTGATCTTCATTTACTATGCTCTGGATTTCCTAGCATAGAGAATGTTTTCTTTTCTTTCCTCTTCCCTTTCTTGTCTTTTTTTCTTTCTTATGGACAAATAACAGCAAGTAGTATTCCACTGCTAATTAAACAAAATGCCACATTCATAGCAGGAAGCAAAGAAGACATTAGCATTCAGGATGCAGAGAACATGAGTTACATTGTTATCTCATGTCCACATGAACTCCAGGAAATGTAATGCTGAAAATGCTGAACAATACATTGTAAAATGCAGAAGACCCATGCAGAGAGATTGTGCAGGGATTCAGGCTTAAAGCACCATTTATAGTGCAGTATAGATGGAAGATGTTTTGGCTGGGGCCAGTCACCAAAGCCACCAAAAGCCCAACATTTTTAACATACAGAGGTTCCCTTCAAATGTGTAAAATGCAAAAAATAATCCACTCCACTTCACAAGCACCTCAGAATTCCATACTGAAACCCAATGCTTTGGTTCCTTTCTGCAGTTCATCTCAAAATGTAAGTGATCGGGTGCCATTTTGAGAGGGACTCCAGTACAAAACGAAGCTTTGGGTGTTTGAGGGAGAGCATGCAGTGGGTTGGGAAAAACTGGGCTTTGGCCTTCATAGTTGTTACCCTTGTTTTTATAGGTAGAGATGACTTGACATAGCATAATGATCCGGAAGCTCAAGTTGGTACAAAACGCAGCTGCTCGACTTCTTGCGGGAATTCCGATGAGATGCCACATAACACCAATCTTACTGCAGGGGCATTAGTTACCAATTGAGTACCGGATCACTTTCAAAGTGATGGTACTCACCTTTAAGGCCTTGCATGGTCTGGGGCCGATGTATCTAAGGGACCGCCTCACCCCCTACCAACCCCAGAGATCCCTCCATTCTGAGGACCAAGATCTATTGGAAATTCCCAGCGTCAAGACCTTGCGTCTAACAGCAACCAGATGCAGAGCCTTCACAGCAGTGGCACCATCACTCTGGAATACTCTGCCACTTGAAGTCCGTGCCTTGCGGGACTTATCAGCTTTCCGCAGGGCATCTAAGACATATCTGTTTCGACAGGCCTTTGATCTTTGATATTGCTGTTTTTAAATTGTTTTAAATTGTTTTTAAATTGTGTTCGATTTTAGCCTGTTCTTGTAAGCCGCTCCGAGCCCCAGGGGAGTGGCGGCATATAAGTTCAAATAATAAACAAACAAACAAATAAATAATGACCTCACTACCTCTGAGGATGCTTGGAGAAAATTGCCTCCAGAACATGGCCATATAGCCCGGAAAAACCTACAACAACCCAAATAAATAATGTCCCATAGAGAAAATTGTCAAATTCTATTTTTTTGTTTTGTTTTTCCATTTGCATTTATAACTCACCTTTCTCTTAAAGTGTGCTCTAAGGCACAAAACAGATATTTATTGACCAAAATAAAGGCTACGACTGACAAAACAGATATGTATTTTGTGCAAATAAAAATACATCTATTGTTCCCTGTGGTTGCAAAACCAAAGATGTGACAATACCAAAACTGTAGTCCTTCCTCCTTGGTGCAAACTATTATTCTTTCAGATATTGTAGAGAATGCTCAATAATCTCATAATCTCATCCAGCAAGAAGTCAACCTATTTTTTTTAAATTTTGATGTGAGAGAATGAAATAAATAAACTTTTCAAAGTATTAATCCTTGAATGTTAGAATGACAGAAATGAATATTT